GGCTCTCCCTGTCCTTGGCAAGGACACATTGAACTGCGGGACTCCTGCCACACATAGAAACACACACGGACACTCATTCACAAAATGAGGCCTTCTGTCTCACACACACACACACACACACACACACACACACACACACACACACACACACACACACACACACACACACACACACACAGCTTTCTCAACATAAATATGTTTTCTCTGATCTGATTCATATCCATCGTTCCCTTTCTCTAGCTCTTAATCTTTGTGATAAAAAATGTCTTCCTTTCAACAGCAATATCCATATTTCAGCAGAAGAAGCAGCCATGTAGAAACATGTCAAAGAGTGGTGTTTAGGCCAAACAAGGGAAACTACAAGAAATACTTTACGAGTAAATGAACCACAGGTTATTGTCACTTTAAATGGCACTCTTAACCAAACCTCTCAAATCCATTTGAGCATGGATTTGACTAAAATACTCTTCATTTCTTGTCCTCTTATACTCAAGTAGATGTGCTAAACTTGCAGCCTGTTGCACCTCACTGAAATGACAAACTCTGGCTGAGTACAATCTTTTATGCTTGCAGCATTACATCAGATGGAAAAATTCCACGTCTTGTTCTGTGGGTTTGAACAACGCTTGGCTGTACCACACCGAGAGAGTAACAGAGAGACGCGGCAAAAAAAAAAATCCAAAGGTTTTTATGGCATCTCTTCAAACGCAGTACAAACAGCCTATTCTCAAATAAATAACCTTCTATGATAAGATGCTTAGCTTTAAGAAATAACACAAAAAAACTGAAAACGTTCCACTGGTAAAGATGTGTCCTCTCTCACACAAGAGAGTTCAAACTGGTCTTGTGAAGGGGGGAAATAATCTTGTGTCAACAAATAACTGGAGAGGAGAAGAAGAGAAAGGCGAGAGAAGTAAGGAGAAGGATAAGATAAGAGAGAAGAAGACCATAGAAGGAGATATATAGCCCCATGTCACATAATCTCGACCTGATGAAAATTCATCAGCTGATAGCATGACTATCTATGGTTAGATGCACGGACACACACAACTTCAGGCGCACACACTTTCTCCCTCCCTCCTGGCCTTACTGTCCGAGGCAGCGACGAGTCACATGAGGGGTTTTTGCTCTGCACCAGTGGAGGATCAAGAAAAAGAAATAACCTCACTCCCACTAAAAGTACAACTCTCACACATTCACATGTGTGTAGGTCAGCCGAAATGACTCTGAAGAGAGCAGCAAGGCTTGAGTCATCATCAGCACGATGAGACTTTTTGCAGCAGAAAGTTTAGTAGCGAGGTTTAGCCATTTCAGTGTGTTGTGCAATTTAAAGAAAAATGGAAAAGCCTCAGTATGATTCAAAGCAGACTAAAGGTGACATCGAACAGAACTCTGCATGTGTCAGGATATGTAAGTATGACTAGACTGTCAACTTCAGAAAAATGGGTAAAAAAAACATTAATAATCAGGAACACACTTGGTGGCCTGCACTTTGTAGACCACCAGCAAGCGCCAAACAGAATGATAGTCCCCATCTCCTTTTTTCCCCACACCACTTTTAGCCAGTTAGCGAGTGAGCTGCGGTGTCGGGCTCCAGCTCATAAGTAGCAAAGATCTGCATTTTTCTCCGTGACATCTTTCTACCACGTTGCCCACTGACAGCTTTGTGTGTGCGAGCTGTAGAGGGCAAGAAAAAGCGAGCGAGAAGGAGAAAGTCTGGAGCAACTCAAGTGTGAGTAATAACAGACATGGTTACCGGGTGCAGATTTACGAGCTACAGACATTTAAATTTCATCAGAAGAGGAGAGGGAGGTCTGTAAGACTAAAAACAAACTTCAGCCTGCAGCTATCACAGCGATAGTGCAGGTATATTATTGCACAATAAAGTTTAAAAGTGGAGTAGAGCTGTCAAGCATCACAAAACATGAACTAAGTCCAGCTATGAGAGCATTCTGCAGAAAGCCTTTACTCAAAAAGAGGCTGTATAGGTGAGAGTACCTGCTGCCGTTTGTGGCGGCGGTGGATGATGGCAATAATACAGATGGCTCCAACTGATAAAATAACACTCCATACCGAATACAGCCATGTAGACCACATCATGACCAATCATGTGCCACTCAGCTGGAAAAACCCTCGAGAACGATTATCCGTCCGGCTCTCCCGCAACACGCCCAAACTTGAGCTATCTGTGCCGAAAAACCGAGCACCTCAGGCTTGCATACTCCTCGTTCTACTCGTGCCCCCACAAGATGTACACATATATGTCTGTGTGTGTGTGTGTGTGGGGATAAACACTTGTAGATCATTTGTTTGGCAAAACAGAGGACAAACATAATCTGGACATGCAAATACCCACAAAGGTTGCAAAGGCACGGACAGAGTGTGCGTGATTGGAAGAGAGTCCGAGGGCAAAATCCTGGAAATGCAGAGAGGTTTCGTGGAAATTCAAAATAAACCTGCGCGTTGGTGTTTATCTGCTTTTAGTTGTTACATGTGTCTGAACGCGTCATTGCGTAAACCTCTACGCTTGTCTTGAGGATGACACAAAGAAAGATTGTGACAGAAGCTGCAACAAGGGCTAAAATAAACTAAAGGAAACATCCTAAACAGCAGCTCCCACACACTCTGCGCCGAGCCGCTGAAGCTACTGCAATGCACCTTCATCCTGTAACTCAGCACTATTGGGTGCAGCAGAGTGTCACATTTGAATTTTACATGGCTAGTAAAAAGAAAACATGTAAATAAATCTGGACATTCTCTGTCTGTGATTATCTTCTGAAACAATAACTTACCAGCTGACAGATGAATATCACTTTTTATAAGCTATTTAGAAAGAGTTACTTTACAAAACTATTATATTTTTAATTAATAAGTTAACTGTTTCCTGAAATAGTGAAACTGTCTCACTGACAGTAAAATAATAAAAAAAATTACAACCAATTAAAACATAACAGATACAGATTAACCTCCAAAATGTTTGGCTTTTTCTTCATCATTTTTTCAGGGCAGATCATTTACACCAGGGGTGTCAAACATAAGGCACAGGAGCCAGAATGGTATAGACTGTCAACTGTATTTTCATGAATTTTTTCCAGCTTTCCTGCTAATAAAGACCTCCAAGGCCATTTATATCACACCAAAGTAATACATTAACAATTAAATGGCAAAAAAGTCCCTGTTATCCACTATCTACTACAGAAATGTCTGCTTTTTAAAATGTGTCCACTGTAAAATAAATAAATAAACAAAAACAGAACGATTTTTGTGAATGAACTAGAACTTTCTGCTTTATAATTACAGGACAGTCTGAGCAACGAGCTACCTGAACCCTTTCTGTAAGTTTACACTTTTATCCCAAAGAATCAATTATCATGTTGTAAAACCATGCAGTTTAATTTATTAATGAGTAAGTTAAAGTACATTAAATGTAATTAAATGTGCAGTTAAACTTCTGATAGGAAGGGAAGTTTCAGTAGTCCGGCCCACTTAAGACGAAAGTGAGCCTGTAAATGAGTGTAAAGTGAGTTTGACATCCCTGACTTACACAGTTGATTAATTTGTATCTTCCTAATTGCTACAGCACTTATTTACACTGTCGTCCCTTTATAGCAAACCCAGCATGGTCTGCAAACTGTCCTACCTACTTTACAGCTTCATTGTTTAAACACTATGACGACCACTTTTGACAGACTTTGAAACTCCTCTGATGACTGTATGTGATCTATTAATACATGAAGCATTCATCTGGTAGTGTCGGTGTCTCTGGTTTTTTGTTCTGTTTTGTATGTGTGTGGTTTTCCGCACATTGTTTCATGCTTATATGCAAATTGCCAGTCACCAGATATGTACTGGAAGAAATGCATAAATCCTCTAGGAAAGGCACGTATTTTTAACTAACTGCAACCCGCATTTGACATAATATATTTAGTAAGGTTTAATTATCACTATTGTTTAATAAAATGGCCTTACTTAAGTATGCACTGGCGCTTATATAGCTCTTTTCTACTAAAACAATCAAAGCACTTATACAACATGTCTCATTCACAGTCATGCTTTTATCTACGTCTAAGTGCTTTCTATCTAACATTCACACGTCGATGAATGCAAAGTGGAGAAACTCGGCCCAACGACACTTTAGCATGCAGATTGGAACAGCCAAACATCAAACCACCAACCTCCATCCTGAGCTGTCTTGAAAGTTCTGGCACCATGACTGCAGTCAGTAAATGTGTTGATGACCATCCCCGTGCAACATGTTACTGCATGTTGCTCCCCTTTGCTCTCCCTTCCTACATTTCAGGTCAGAATTCGCTGTCTAAAGATAAGCATTCACAGGGGTGTATTTTCGTGGGGAGGATCACACATTACTAAGA